CCCCAAAACCCCAAAACCCCTAATCTAAAATATTTTATGATTTCTGAATAAATTATATTTAATAAACTTTTATTTTATTTAGATAAAGGTATTAAAAATGGGATTTATCAAAAAAGAGATAAGTGATATTAATGAATTATAGAATAAGATAAATTTACGAATTGATCAAATTAAGTAAAATGCTCTAAATCTAGAAAACTCAAATACGTCAAATTAGTAAAATGATGATACAAATTGGATTATCACATTAATCGAGGATGTTTAATTGGAATATGAGGAATAAGTTGGTGGACCGAAGCAATATTTAAAGATTATTTTTAAGATTTTGAATTCGAGAGAAATTTATTACAAGGATATCATTCTTAATTTATAACAAAGCTACTGTAAAAAGAATAATTGGAAATTTCTGGATGCTTTAAAAAGTAAGAGATTGAAAGGTATTAAAAGAAAATTCAATAATCTTAGAATGCGTAGAATAATTAATTCCTTTGACAGTCCAATCATAATGATTTAATTGAAGGTTAAAGTAAATTTGATTTACAAAGAAACAGATCTAATGAGCTTCATAATGAATCAGTTGTGAAGCCAAATTTATTCAGTAGTTTAGAGATATTATTAGAGAAATATGATAGGTCGGATGAAATGAATCATACCATAGCAGATGAACCTTTAAAAACATAAATGAATTATTACGAACCAGGCTATGAATCAAATAATAACCCTTAGAAATTATATTAGCCAAATGTAAAATTAAGTCATGCCAATCCTTTTATTGAAGAATCTAAAATAATGGAAAATTAATCAAATGATCACTAGAAAAATACTGAAAATGATGAGTTATTAAACATGAGTTAGGCGGGGATAATTAGCTCAGATCAGTATATTCTATCAAAGAAACCTAATTCAAATTAAAAACAAAGAAGAGAGTGCGAAAAAGAGTTAATTAGATTTTCAAGTTAGGTAGAGTTATCAAGATTTAGTAAATAACTGACGAGAAATGTGTATAAGCTGAGCAATTAATATAAATAAAAAGTTATCTGCTATAATGATCATGATAATAAGATTATTGTGGGATAAAACGATAATACAATATTAATTTTTGACTCAGAGATGTAATTTGAGAGGTCTTTACAACTTGAATCAGAGCTAATCTCTATATTGAAACTTAATGGACTATTCTTCTTTGGAATGATGTAAAAGAAAGTTATTGTCTTTCGAAAAGATTTAAACAAAGTTGTTAAGGAGATTGATACAATAGAGTGTGTGTACAAATTTGTTTATTACCAGCATTAAGATCCAAATCTAGACTATTCTAAAGAATATTTAATCCTTTTAGAAAAAGAAGGCTTCATCTAATTCTTTAGTTTCTAAGAAAAAAAGATAGTATTTACTCAATAACACTCGAGCAAAATAAGTATATAGGATGGATTATAAGTTGCAAAGAAAAACCAATTATGCTTGGCGCTTGCATAACTTGTTGATAATACCTATAAAAATGGAAGAGTATCATTCATAGATGTAATAATAAAATAAGCAACTCACATAAAAAAATAGCTCTAATATAAAACTTCTCAAGAGGTAAGCTTAGTTGAAATTCAGATATAGGAACTAGTCAAAGAAAATTACTTGGATGGTAGTGCAATATTTAATGTCCTGCAAATATTTAATAATCAATTCATAGTTTGCGTTTAAGAAAATAAATTTTTACTAATAAATAGATCCTTGCCAGATTAAATCAAAAAAATACGAAATCCTTCAAAGAGTATAAACTACAATTCCTTAGTAAAGATAGATGGGTTCAGTGATGAACTACCATATTTGATTTACAGGGATTCTCGTTGTATTGGAGTGATCAACTGTAAAACATTAACTGCTAGTACCATCATAAGTGGAATAAACTATAGTAGATGTGGAAATATTTTCAGTCTTGATTAATACAGAAACAGTGATGGTAAACTTAACCTATTGACGTTTATCTTTGATAGAGATTCAAATAAAAGAGAAATCAAAAGCTTTTAAATTGATATTAATGGATTTTAATGATTTTAAATTTATATTATTCTTTGTTGAATTTTAATTATACTATATTTCGGTTGCAAAGACTTGACATTTCATTGGGGTTTTGGGGTTTTGGGGTTTTGGGG